AATTTGAATTTGTTAGAAATTCAAGAGATAAACATTGTGCATAATATAATAATTCATTATAAGTAAGAGATTGTTCATCAAGTTCTATGGCTATCTTTTGTGATTGTTTATTTACTTGCTGAATAAATTCATGTTGTATACAATGATTCGATGAAGAAAATAAAGTTTGAGTATTATTCATTGATGCCATAAGAATCTTTTCATTAGGTAACATTATTGATGATTCATGCATCGATTAATAAGTTTGATCTATTAAATCTGATGTGAAAAGTTGTTGAAGTAAAATTTGAAACCGTTGTCCAATTTTATATGTTGTTGATGGATTGAACAAACCAAGAGATGCCTCGATTGTACATGATAATTGATCAGTTATTATGTCATGTATAATACTTAGAGAGAAATCAAATTTACTTGCGATTTCATCTGTATTTATTTGAATTGAATAAGGCATAGTATAAATAGGAACATCTCCTACTGTCACTTCATCATGATTATGTTCAGTTGGAAAAGAAACAAATCCAAAGAATACATCAAGAAATGTAGGACGAGAAATATGTGGATGTTGAGCAAGAATACGTCGAAGAGAAAAATAAGAATGTTCGAATGTTTGTGTAGCTATTGTATCTACATATTTTACAAATTCATGAAATGAATGATTAGAATTAATTTGACATCGCATCGGAAGTGCATTAACAAACATTCGAATAATTGACATTAATTCAGATTTTAAACGACCATGATTATTCATAACGACACATATATCATTTCCATTATTGACTAATTTAAATAAAAATGTATAATAAGAAGCAAGTGCTAATAATATTCAAGTTTAATTTTATATGTTGAAGCATAAGTTAGAAATGCTTTTGAAAGATCGTTGTCAAATTGAAATGAAATTAATGTTCCACGACCTGTACGATGTTCATCGGAAACACGATGTCGATCAAATGGTAATTGCAAAGATCGATCCATTTCACAATCACAAAGAGCATCAAGCCAAAAAGTATTGACAACTGTCATAGGTATTTGTTGTTTAGCCACGGCATCTTAAATAAAACGAAAAGTATGTCAGTATAAAATATAAAAACAATAAACAAAATAATTTAATATACAATCAAGATTTTGACGAAACATTTTCATTGATGGAAAATCAAACAAAGCATGATGAAAATTAAAGATAAGTGCATCTTTTTCGCAAATTATTCCTTTTTGAGAAATGTTTTTATAATAAACAACATGACATCGACAAACAATAACAATTAATAGATTAAAATTATTTGGGTTCCCACGTTCATTATGCATAATTTTATTGAGATCTTCATCTGTTTCGAAAGTACTTTCGATAAATGTAAATAATTCTTTATTATCAGTATGATCAATAATCGTTTGCATTAATATATTCTTATTTGTATCGAAATAGAGTGATGTACGAAGAGCAGAATGTTTTAT